TCCTCTGCTCTGCACACACAGCATCACAGCCACCTTTGACCTAACCCTTACCAATGCATGGAAGTTCAGTTTTGAGGAACGATGAAATCACAGAGCAGCCTGCTCATTTTCTGGCTCTTAACCAGCACCTCGGGCAAAAATAATAGTAGCAATAATAATAATTAATAATAATGCAGACTTGTGAGTCAAGCTGGATCACGGCCCCTGGAAGGAAAGCCACACAGGGTGTCTTGATGGGGGAAAAGGGAGAACAGAAAATGGTTCATAAGACCCAAATAGGTACTCCATCTGCCCATGTAACACTGCCTTCTGATCCACATCAGGTCCCTTACTGAGCTCTATGCACAGGCCACAAACCATGTGAGATTCAAGTATGTCACACCCTGTCCACTCTGAAAGAGATCTGACCCACAGCCTCCAGCTCTGCTCAGACCTCCTGGCAGGGCCACAGTGAACAACCCATTTGACGATCCAAGCAGGGGGAACCCAGCTCCCGTCCCATGGTAGCAATGAGGGACCAACATAGGAACAAAGATCCTTGTCACTAAATCCATGACATGTCCAGACCTTCCTTGTCAGTGCTGGCTTTTTTATAACCAGCAGCTTGCAGCAAATAGAAACAAAGCCGTGAAGATGCCTGGTAACATCTGAGTCACTCTTGAGCCTAAGCAGTAAGCAGGAGCAGGTAAGACACAAGGAACAGAGCTTGGCTCTAGCAGTATAAGGTTTTTCTTCAAAGCATGCTGATGTTTTTCAACAGGTCACTTGCGACAAGCACACTCAGGTGCTCTGGGGAGCAGTGCTAAAACACAACACAGGACTCAGTCCCTTACAGTTCAATGATGTCAGTGCCCCAAGGAGCTTAGCAACCATACCCATGCAGCAGAGAGAGTCCTACAAGAGCAACCTTGAGACATTCAGAGATGGCATTAGGAAACAGTTACCCAGGGAAGGAACTGGAACAGCATGCAGGCATCTCAGACTTGATGATATTAAGGGTCTTTTCCAACCTAAACAATTCTGTGATCTCAGATGACTAAAATCAGCAATGCGCTCAATCCAACTGGAAAGAGATAGGGCAGCCACTTGTAAAACAAGAGTGCTTTACCTTCCCTTCATGCTATACAAAGCTGAAAACCACACAAAGCCTAACTGCAAAAGGAGTAGAGAAGTGCTGGAAAAGGAAATCTGTACCGATGTATCCATCCCTGTCCTTGGGATAACACAAGCACACTTAGAGACCTTAGAAACTACCTCAAGCATATAAAAGCCTAAGGAGACAATGCACATCAGTAACTACTCAGTCCCCTGTGGAAAAGCAAGTGGCCAGGGAAGAGGGTGAGGGATCTCATTCATTTGGTTTCCAATGAACTTCTGCCATCAGCCAGGTCCTGCAAAGCTGTGAACAGGTGAAGGCGCTAACCTGCTCTCACCTCCCTGAGAGCAGGATCAAGCACATCTGGTAGGCAGAGGCTCCCTGCAGGGCTTCTAAAAGAGTTGGGCATTTGGTTAAAGGGTAAGATATCTGTCTAAAGATAAGCTGGCAACAGATAGGAGAAAGGAGGATGTCTTGTTTTAGCTCTTTGATGGATGGTTAAGGGAGGCAAGCATCAACAGTGGGGCTTTTTAAATAGAGAATGCATTTCTAGTTTGGGATCACTTCATATCTAAACCAGACAATCACAATTTCAGACTAAAAGCCAGTGAAGCCACCCCATAAAGAGATGAAACTTCAACAACCTAGAGAAGAGACTTTCAGACTGTTTAAAACTTAGCAGGGGCCGGAAAAGGGATTTGGATTTTGTTACCAGCTTTTTCTCTTCACAATGATTAACTGACACCTTCAACCATTAACTGCAACATCCTAATCCACCCAGCTTCGCCACAGCATTGCTCAGCCAGTCTATGACCCCTGTTGCATCAAGGGTCTTTCCAACAAATCCAGACTTCACCTTCCTGACATTGTTCTTGTTAAAAGAAAAAGGAAGGGGGGAAAGCAAGGCAATTTAACATTTTTTAAGTATTATCAAACATAAATCAATTTTTAAAAGACCATTGGTGTGAAGAAAGAACAGGAAATTAATTTGGAAAGTCAAAAGCTGTAAGAGCACCAGGAGCTTATATTACTGATATCCCATATAAGAGGCATGTGGTTATGGATCCAGCCTTCTGTTTATCCTTTCACATGCTGCCATCCAGGGCGCCCAGCCAACTGGGTGGCCTTGTGCTGCTGACAGAGATGCAGAGGGAGGCAGTGAAGATTCCTTCCCTAGTAGTGATTTCCAAGGGGAATGGGGAAGAGAGCTGGCTGGGCTCCTATCAAATAGTGCTGGATCCAAGATTTTAATCTCTTCCCACGTGCAAAGCACTACAAATCTTCCAGTGAGGTATTAATCTCTTTAGAAGTTTCACACACCACGATCATGGCAGAGGATATGCAAAGCCATATTCTTTCTTCTACTTTCTTGAGTCAAGGCCACATAAGCAATGTTGAGATCATGAAAGACATCTGCTCCTGGCATCTAGGCCAAGTAATGCCAGGGCTCATGTGCTGGCTCATATTTAGCCCCTCTTCACATGCCCACAATACCTAAGACTTGCCTTCATCTCTCCAGGCTCCAATACTGCCTTGAAAGATCACAATTAAAAGGAAAGGGAGTCACATTAAAATGCCTGCAATACCTGTGTCACCATCCACCAGAGAAACATATCATCAATCGGATGCCAAGGCATGTGTTACATGGCCTTGAGGCATGGCATGATGGGGGTTTATGGATGTTGGAGGTGGAAAGGCTTTCTGATATTACAGAGCCACATAAGGCAGAGCGCACCAGCCTTTACACTCTCACAAACTATCTGCTAGCAATGGAGAGAACTAAATCCCAAGTCAGGTTTATCTTCATTTCAGAAGAAAATAGTTGTTTCATGTTAAAGAAGAGCACAGAACCAAACTATCAATGGATCACACCCAGGGAATTAAATTCTTTGACAGCAAAAGTCCACCCTCTGCGAGTTACTCTACCACAGCCAGATGAAAGGCAAAGGCTGCAGCACATTGCAAACTGCAATCTAGGAAACGGAAAGTGCCCAAGGCTTTTGGACCTGTGGGCTAATTCACTCATCTAAAAGAAACAGATTCACAAGGACATGGATGACTATCATTTTTAACTGAATTACTCCAATGCTTATTTGTGAACCAAGACCCTGTTGTGCCGAATACTGTACAGCCAGAGACGGAGTGGGACAAAAGGCAGACACAACACTAATCACCAATTTATGATATTTTTGGCTAAGAACTGGACACACAAGGACATGGAACTGTTGTGCAGAAGACAGCATTAGAAAAGGTGCGTGGAGAGGAGGGTGAAGAGGAAGAAGTAGATTTTCCACTAGAAATGTTAAAGAGAGCTTCTTGGAACAATTTAGGCTACTGTCATTAAAATGCAATGACAGTCATCATCAAGGAAATACAGATATGTTTCTGCATGCAAGCACAGAAAATATTTCCTTTCAAAACTGTAAATACAAGATTTAAATCCTTGTTTTCCAGTTATTTTCCAATAAATAAGCAATCAACAACATCAATTTCTTTTGGTGATAAGGAAGGTACCGCTACCAGCTCTTTTGTATATCTCTGTGCTTGGCAGATGTATCTCTCTGATGCTGAACTGCAGCCACCTTTCAGGTGAGAGAACAGCCTGGGGTGGTGTCAGCCGCAATTCACATCAGCAGCTTGCAAAGACTAAAGCAGCCTGGAAGCAGTGAATGAGCAATAAGTATACTGAACGCACAGGTCCAGCTGGCAGCCTGAGAGGACACGAGACCTAAAACTTCCACTCCTCTGAACCGGGCACCAGATGCTTAATTCTAAGGGAGACGAAAGCTTCAGCTTTACATCTACAAATCAGCATCTCAGCAACATAGTGCCCTCTAGCCTTGAGCAGCGTTGCAGTGTAAGCTCTAGAGGAAAAAGCCCAGTGATATGAAGTACTAATGCAAAGCTTTATGTCCAGTCTTCAGCCTTACCTTTCAAGCAGGCTCTGAAGAAACCTCGCAGACGCGCAATGCCAGGAAACACAGTATACTCTGAGAGATTTTGCACCAGCCACAACACCCTGTCAGGCTTTACCTTACCAAAGCTAGATAATTTACTGTCCCTAAACACAAAATCCAGTCTTCCACGTACTAAAACGCAAATTGTATTTTGAGGAAAGAGTTAAAGGATTTAGTGTAACTAAAACCCAGAAACGAAACATACCCTCACTGCTTTTGCAGATAGGCAAAAGCTACTCCACCGTATGCTGCAAACTCCTGCAGACAAAGACACTTCTACATGACACCCTGCAACACTGGAGTCTGGGAAGGCTGTTAAAAATCCTCTTACTGCTATTGGCAGTAAGGTGTGAAAGGAGCAAGGCAAAACAGAGATGAAAGAGATCCCAAAAGCTGAGTCTGACTTGATAACCATGCAAACCGGCGCTCCCCTCAAAATCTGTCTTAATGTAACTTATAGGAGAAAAGTAGGGAAGAAGCATTTAGCACCTCCGGCTCACTGACCCCATAAACTGCAGAGCCTCGCTCCGCTCCCCACCGGGCACCCTGCAGTGCTACGGCCAGGCAAACCGGGGAGCCGAGAGACCTGTCCCATCCTGCGCTGGGTCCTGCCGAGCAAGGAGGGAAGATCTCCCTTCAGAAGGGAGGGGAGCTTCAAAATGACACCACCATAAAAACCCAACCGCCGAACGGGATGAAGAAGGACGAGGAAAAAGAGCTGCATTTCTACGGCAGCCCGGAGCCCCGCGGCCGCCTCACCCACGGGGGCAAATGGGCTGGGGGGCTACAACGGCGGCGGCTGCCTCGCCAAGGTCCGGTCTGGGACGGCTCCGCGCTGCGGGCACCGCTCCGCGCCCGTCCCCATCCCGTCCCTGCCCGCCTCCCGCACACGTGCGCCGCGCCCGGCGGCGGAACCGGGGGCTCGGCGGGGCCCCAGCGCCACTCACGTAGTGCTTCGAGGGGTTCCTCCGCTTCTCCACGTCCACCACGTTGGCGTCCAGCACGCTGTAGGACAGCATCTTCGCGCACCCTCCGCCGCGCTGCCCGCCGCGGCGATGCCGGCCGGCGCGCCGGGCGGCCGGGAGGGAGGGAGGGAGGATGCCCCGGTGCCGGCCCCGCCCCGTGCCGCGGCAGCGGCTCCCCCCTCTCTCGGCGGCTGCTCCGCTCCCCGCCCGCTGCCTCAGGCTGCGAGGCCAGGGCGGCGGTGAGGGGCAGGGCCCGGCAGCAGGACCCGCCCCCGGGCGGACCCCGGGGGGCGCCGGCTGGACGGGCCGTGAGGGGAGCGGGAGCCACCGCCCCCGTGTGGCTGGGGGCGCGGCCTGCCCTCAGACGGCACCTCCCCGCCGGGACCCCCGGCACGGCCGCAGGGAGAGCCCTGGGGAGGACACAGCACAGGGCAGCGAAACGGGAGGGTGCTCCAGGGGCCTCCAGCACTGCAGTGTCCAAGATACCCTGCCCGAGGGGATGGACAGGGTCAGAAAGAGAGCGGGGCTGAGCGCGCAGCCCGCCAGGCTCCAGCTGGCAGCTCAAGGCTGGCCACTGCTTGGAGAGATCCACACTGCCCTGGCCACGGGGCCGCAGGAGGAACAAAGCTGGAGGAAGGTCACACAGGCTCGTGCCAGTGGAACCATTCATGAGTGATAACCCCAATTCATCTATTCACATACAGACAGATACATGTGCATCATCTTACCCAGTCCCACTTCAAGAAGAGTTTGCCCTAGAAAGTTCAGTTTTTGTTGTGTTGGTTTTTTTCCCAATAATGCGTCATTACTTTCGATACGGTTATTTGGAAGTTACATCAGAAGCAAAAACCTACGTGTGATATTCCAGCCTTCAGCTTGTTTCAAGACATTCATTAGCTATTCATCAAATTAAATGAAGTTGCCAAGATCTCTCATTCCTCTGAAGCTCTTCAGCAGCAGTCCATGCAGAGTTTCCACTAAGCTTCCAGAGTGCTGCTGACAGCTCTGGACCTGCTAGTGTAGGAGCACAGAAAGGTCCCAGCTCCTGGCAAGAAAAGCCCCATGTCTACTGTGAGGATGGTTGGTCGCAATCCGATTTCATTACAGGCACAGCTTCTGAATCAGAACTTTTACAAGCACTATTGGCCCTGCAACAACGAGCATGAGAGAGACACCAGAGTCACAAAGCTTTAGATCCTTGAGCCCAGAGGCTGACATCTGAAAGTGGTTGGTTTCAAACCATAGCTGCTTTCCACAAACATCCTAAAAAACAGAAGGAAAACCAGCAGCAGCCCCACCAGCGCAAAGGCAAACCGGGGAGCCGAGAGACCTGTCCCATCCTGAGCTGGGTCCTGCCGAGACAGGAAGGAAGATCCCCCTTCAGAAAGGAGAGGAACTTCAAAATGATAACATCATAAATAACTGCAGGCGTAACTGCCTGCTGCCAGGTGGGAAGCAGGTACCTGCTGCGTAACGCCAGGGATGTATATGCTCCAAGCCAGCCTTTTCCTCGCTGCTCAGCTTGCTACAACACACAAAACTAGTAAAGTGACATAAAATGCTGAACTCCTGGTGTCCAACCGTGGGATGTGCTCAGGTATACGTGCAACAGACTTTTGGTAATGGGGAGGGTGACAGAAGGGGAAAAGCTGATGTGCCCACCTCTGTGGTCACTTTTCAGGCTTTTCTTTTCTTCTTTGGAGCACCTTCTTTCCTCCTTTTGAGAGACTTCCCACCCTAACCTAACCCTCCTGCGCGACTCAAGGCAGTGGAGCAATTATTTACATTAGAAACTTTTACTGTTTAGACTGGCCAAGAAGTCTCTGGTGTGCGGAGGAACCAAAGAAGATTCCTCCTTGAAAATGTAAATATTCAAATAACCCATTGATAAAATACGCCTGGCATGGCCAGTGGTCTTGGATGCCTCTTCCCCGTCAGCCGTTATCAAAAGGCATCACCCATTCCATCCCTTTCTCCTATCACCCTGTCCAAAAAAAGAATAAAGGGTCCTGTCCGTCATTAAAAACACTCAGGGTTTGTTTTAAATCAGCTTTCAAAACATGTCATTGTGAGCGAAAGAGAGCAAATACATCATTCTCCACACACCCTGCCCCATCCTTCCTGACATTCTTACTAATTGGCACCTTTTTATCAGTGGTGCTCTCATCTGCTCTCCTAAGGAAGGAGCTGCTATTTTCAGTGGAACCTGAGCCTGAGGCACTGGGCTTTGTGCTCCCTTGGTGCCCACCCCATACTTCGACATCTGCTCCATGGTTTACCTTTCCTCTATTCAGAATAACTCAATTCTCCGCCACACCAGGTGACTTTCTCCAGCTGTGAAGCCCTTGTACAGCTCTGGTTCACCCCCCCCCCCTCCTCCTCCATCATCTGATGGTTTTGTGCTCATCGCCACCTTATGCTCTCGTTGTTTGTTTGCTGCATCCCTCCATCTACATAGGAAAAACATATGTTGCTAGGGGCATGGATTGTTCTTTTAAAATGTGTACAACACCCAGTCTAGTGGGAGTCCAACCCCAGACTATTGCAAGACTGACAGAAACGTAACTGAAACCCCTTATTATGCTGCAGGCTTGGGAAAATCTGCTCCTCTTTTAGGCAGCAGCTGGAAAAATGAAGCTGACAGCGCTTCGCAGCCTTGTGCTGGAGAGCCAGGCTCCGGCTGCTGGAGCTGAATGAAAGACAGCCTGAGTACACAGAGAAGAGCACAGCAGGCTTGGGTCTGTGACCGACCCCACATGCCCAAGAGCCTGTACCTGACAAGGACCATGAAGACATGGGTAGAGGCACTATGAATCTGTAGGAAACTAACTGTAGGGATTTAAATCCTAAATCTCCCAGTAATTATACCTTTCTCTTCAAGTGTCTATTACTGAAGTCCTGCCATTACATGGTAAAATCACTGCCATTATTATCAAATTTAATACATATCTTAGCATCAATATTAAAGCTGATTTAATAATTCACCTTTACAGACTTCTGATGAAATTCACCTGTGGAACACCCTGGGAAATTCAGATTTCTAATGAAACCAGCTATTTCAAAAAGCTTTTTTTTTTATCTACTTATTTGCTAAGCGGGTTATTTGGGCAAAAAGGGTGCAGGTAATCACATTAGCCTCACAGATCCACTACAGCTATAGCCCAGCCACCCAGCCTGTGCTACAATTACGGCAAAAGCTGATGCGTGACAGAATGTGTGCACAGTGGTCTCAGAGCTGGAGCACGACTTGAGTTTTCATATTTCATGAGGATTTTTTCATGCTGCAAATGTTTTGTAAATAAGCATTTGGGTTGTAAATTGAAAACACTTGGGTCACAAAATCAGTGAGAAAATAAAACAAAGGACAGGCTTTTCTGTGCTCCATTAAGGCCACTTCTAATGCTTCTTATTAATTCAGTGTATATCAACACAGATAAGTAACCCCCTATGAATATTAACCATCCTACAGTCTAACAGCCCTGCCTGTTGTGGCTGAAGCTGTTGTGGAAGGTGAGGTTTATTTCTTATCTATGATTTTCTTTTTCTGGCTGGGCAGCCAGGTTGAACACAATGTTTTCCTGTCCCACTAGCCAGGAGAGGCTCTAACGGTGCTCAGCACCTGGAGGGGAAGCAAAGTGCCTCATAGGCTCAGCCCAGCCCTGTGGGGGAAGCAGCAGTGCTGCAGTGCTGTGCATGACAGATTAGCCACACAACTCATTACTGGCGACTAGAGTTGCATGCATAATCTACTAGACATGGTACTAGAGATGTGCCCCTTAGGGTTTTTTTTGGCTCTGATGTGCAACACCACAACACAGAGCCTTTGTTACACTCCCATCTCAGTGCCTGTACTTACAAAACCTCAGCTTCTTAAAAGGGCTGCTTTCCATGCAGTCCTGCCACTTCAGGGTTTCAATGTACATGTCTTTTGATAGGAGTGACAAGAATAGTAGAGTCTGTCTGGCATTCAAATCTCAAACTCCGAAACACAAAGCACGATGCAATCTTCTTCTCCTATGTTTTAAAAGCCAATTGCATTTCATCTTCTTGAGAGATTTCTGCCTTTCAAATGAAATTCACTCTGGAGATAAATAGGCCCAGTTTATGGAAAAGGAAGTTGAAGAAACCAGCTGCAGTCCTAGCAGAGCAGACCCCCCCAGCACAGTAGGGTGCCCCTTTCCCCCCAGCCTTATCGTCAGAGTGCTGTGGTAGCAGCCCCTATGTGCAATTCACGATAATGGGAAAAGGAAAATAATTGTTCCCCCTGATAGAACTGTACATGCTTTCCCAATGGCATAACAGCTTTCACTTACATTATGAAAGAGCTGCTTTACCCTCATGACTTAAATTATAGATTATCCCCTTCTTGAAGCAGCTATCTTACAATTTAACACTTTCATGACTAATGTTATTTTTCAGTCTTCCCTTACCAATTGTGGATGAAGGATTTCCAACCTCAGTATGTGAGCTGCACTCTCTGTTTAAGGTAGTAGCAGCACATTGCAGACTGTTTTTCATCCGCATGCACCTTGTATTTTTCCATTGTCATGAAGGCTTCATAGATATCCATTGACATGGTGAAAATAATGAAACAAAGCAAGCCCAAACCACACTTGTCTTTATGTGTTATATACATGCCAGGCTTACGTTTGAGACTGCTGAAGTTTATCAAACTGATCACAGGTTTGAATTGGGATTCCCAGGTTTCTTCTTGGATGCTATCTCTGACTTCAGATGTTCTCACAGTTCTCAAAACAGCACATTTTGAGACTGGCTTCTGCCTCACCCTCTGCAAAAAACCACTTGGCAATCCATTAGTGAAAATGCAGGCTTGTTACAAATAAAGTCAGTCTAGGAAGAAGCAGTCTGTCTTCATGTTCTCTCCCATGTTACCTCTAAGTACATACTTGGACACCAAGACCTCAGTATTAACAGATCTAAATTTTCCACCAAGCCCTTTTAAAACTTGAATTTCCTTGTTCACTGTTTTTACTTATTCAACCCATTCTGAAAGCAAGCAGTAATTTTATTTGGCTGCACATCCCCTAGAGAAGGTAGAAGAGTTTA